ACTAAACTGAAGTTCGGGAGCCTGAGTTAAAATTCCCAACGTCAACATCTCCACTGGCGACAAAGGAAGTTCAAGTGTTACCAGCGCATGCACAATAAGTAAGAACGTTTGTGGCATTAGAGTTATTGTTTTGCCCAAAATAGCATATTTTTTAACGTTTAAAAAATGTTTAAAAAACCTTGAAGTTTTCGTTAATGTCCTGGAAAACCTGGACAACTCATCTTGTCGAAAAATTCACAACTTTTTATGTGTGTGGGTGATATGGACATAGGACCTTATTGGCCACGTCCGGATATGTCTTACCACCTCACATACCTTAATCATTATTCATTGATCATAATTACTGGAAATAAACCAGTCAATTATTAATCATTCATTATTCAAAAAATCCACAGATCACGCAGCACTTCTTTTTTGATTTCTCGGAAACCACTTTAAAATTATTTTCAAATTTTTAATGACTTTCGCGAGAATTCTCTGATAGGAAATCCATAATTCTTTTTAAAATCCACTTAAATTTTCCATAGAATTCTTGTGCATTTCACCTTTAAATTCTCTAGAGAGCGCTCTCGAGTGCACCTTTAGTGAAAACCTAGGGGCAAGCCAGCTGTAATCAAAGTTAATATTTTTGCTCAGAGTAAATTTGAGTAACTCATAATTACTCAACAATGATCAAAGTAGTCTGGCCTTATATACATCAACAAATACAAATCACAGTGTGAATAAACATTATGTGTCAGAGGAGAAGAAGAATCTGAATTATTTTATAAATTTCTTGATACAAATCGTTATTCAATCAATTGAATTCATTCACATCATTAAATCTAAGCAAATTCTAATAACTTTGCTTTGAAGGGAAATAAAGTAAAAATGCCATATCCGAAGATGGCCTGACATGAAAAATGTATCCGCATCACCCGGCAAGACGTGCTTTATGAGGCCTTCATGTGCTTGGCAAATCAGAGGTTCTGCATGTCTACAATTGCAAATTGCATCATTTTAAATAAGAATGAATAAGTTGAGAACTCAAGATGGATGGGAGCTTGATTTGGTTTTATGGAAACATAAAATTTTAAATATGGCTATACGATGGCAATGTATTGCTTTTCTATTAATCTTGGGTTGAACTTAGTGGCAAATATAAATGCCTATAGTTATTTTTTTCTGAAAATCATGACAACCAGCATTATTTTTCTAGACTTCTCTGAATGCCCAAGTATTATTGCAGAACAATGAGGTTACTGCATCAAAGTTCTGCATTAATTCGTGGGCATTCAGACAAAATTCAGAGAATACTATTACAAAGTAGTAGTCGTTACTTTGATGTCTTTCGAAGATTCAATCTGTGGTTAATTTAACCAAATGAACTTCGGAAAATTTATCATATTTTGAACCTGCAAATGCTATCGTCAACGTTGACCAATAACAGCTTGCATTATACTCGGATGAAAACGGCTAATAAAGGATTGGCACGAAGCAGTAGGAAGGTCATGTGATCTATCTATGGATGGTAATCTAGTGTAAACCACCATTTTCTCTCTTTATTTATAGACGAGTTCACGGATGGATTCGAGTTCACTCACTCGACAAAAAGTGACACAACAGCGGGCCCTGTTTACTAAAAACGAACACATGAATAATACTCACGTAACATTTGAAACCGGCCTATCGACTTTCGTACACAAAACTTGTTAAGCCTTTTTCGCGCGAACCGAATATGCCCACGCAAACTAACAACACCATCGGGAAGGGGAAATTCACCCCTTCCCGATAGTGCTCTTGGTTTGCCTGGACGTACTTCGGTTCTCGTGGAAAAGACCTAGCAAATTATTTACAAAAGTTGATAGGCCCTTTTCAAATGTTACGCTGTTGTGTCAAATTTTTTTCAGTAGATGAACAAAAGTTCACCCTTGCACTCGTCTATACAGCTATTCCACTACGACGCCCACATTCATCAGGATTCACCGGGGGGCGACCCCGGCGTACTGGTTAACATCCATACCTCTCACGCCAAAGTCACGAGTTCAAATCTCACCCTCGAACAAGTCACGAATGACCCAAGAGTGTTAAAGTGACTATAATAAAAAAAAAAAAAGGATTCACCTTTCGACAATGGGAAGCTGCAGAATTTAGAAATATTTATCACCGTTGAACGTCTTTCTTTGACAGTTGGGGAATGAACACAACAAGGTTGCTGTGTTGCCGTGCATCGCATGTTGAGCAACTCGAGTTACTCAGAGTTGCTCAAAATTACCTCAAATTTTATTCATGATCAAAAGCTGTCTTGCCCCCAGGTGAAAACACAGATTGTGGATCTACGGTGTGGAAATTTTGTATTTTAATAGGATTAAACATTACACAGGAGCATTAAACTATCTTTTTTTCGATGGGTTAACTGAAAATTCAACTGGATTTTACGTTATCATTCTATAATCGAAAGCTAGGGGCAAGCCAGCTGCACTCCAAGCTAATATTTTTAAATCGAGTAAATTTGAGTTACTCATAATTACTCAAAAGTGATCAAAGTAGTCCTATGCCAACAAGTGGAAGCAGGAGGTCAACTGTCATCAGTTTGAATAAACACGACTGCCCCCCAACGAGTACTTGTGATGAGTGAAATAGCAGTTTGGTGGTGGACTTGTATGGCAGTTTCACTGCTACTGTTATAAAAAGAACCTGAATACCAAATCATATGGAACGGATTTAAAAATATTGATGCATATTTTTGTAACAGTTTGGTCAAAATTAATAGCAAACAAAAACTGTAACTGTGTAACATGAGAGAGCAATAATAAATAAGATTTCTACCCAAAGGGATTGGTCTGATTTAAAAATTAAGTCTGCCATCCGCATGCTTGAATTTGAAAATTGTTATCATCGGCCACATGGAATTCCTTATTGAAAAACCTTCTGAAAACAATGGTGTTTGTCGTCGAGCCATGATACACTAATGAGGCATATTGTGGTTTTAATGCATAATATAGAATATACAATGTTGCAATAATAAAATAAAATAATCGAATATAATCTCAAACTACAACTGCATTGAATTTCCAGTGCAAATCGTTGTAATATTGTGAGTGCCGTGGTTGTTTCAGTCGAGGGCCAGGCAAGCTAAATTTCTTCAAGTTAGTACTCATAGATGTGCGACTAGAAGACTCATTTACAATCTGAAAATAGAAAGCAACAATGGACTATACTATTTTTCGGAGGACGAACAATTACAAAACTAGCGAGAGATTATCCGGTATGAAACGCGGTTTGATGATATTGTTGTTTTACATCTGGGAAATGAGCACAACAAAAACATGGTTGCTGAGTCTGCTTGTTTTGAATTTTGAATAACTCGAGCAACTCAGAGTTACTCAAAATTAACTCGGTTTTAACTCATGAGCAAAAGCTGTCTTGCCCCTAGATCAAAAGTAATGAAAAAGGCCTCAAAAAAGCGATCCATCACTGCTTCTCAGAATTCCTTCGAAATTATACCCGCGAAATTCTATTTCATTGGTATTCTTCTCGAAATTACTTCTCACCCCAGCAGGCCTGGGCTCAATCCTAGTCGGCACCGCCGGGATGTTCTGAGGCATGACATCTCTGATCACGTCTTCCTTCGGAAGGGAAGTAAACCCGTTGGTTCCCAGTTCATGAGTTGATGGGTCGATAAGTAGGGTCGATAAGTAGGGTCCATGTGTGGGGGCTGCCTCCCTGGCTTCAGTAGCATTGGTACTCAGCACGGAAAACAAGTTCGACGGAAAACAAATCAAAGAAAAAAAAAATCGAAAACAATACATTATATCAAAACTACGATTGCATCACTTATCAAGGTGAATCCTGATCCAACAAACCCAACCTACTAACAAAATATCCCCTTGATCTTTAAAATATGGAATCACTAAAACTTGTACATCGAGAATGGAAGGTCGCTCTCAGCCGCGTTAATTTGATTCATTTTGCAATTTGATGATTCTGATCAATCAAGGAGTAGCAACTCGTTTTTAGTTTTCGTTGTTTCAGTCTCGAGATACAAATATTATAAGCCGTAAATTACCTTAAAACATAAAATTAACTTGAAGCACATCTAAATCATCACCGATTTGGCTGAAAATTTGCACAAAAGTTCAAATTAACATGACGAACAGTAATCACGGTTGACCCGGTGCATCCCGAACATTTCTGTTAAAATTAACAGGTTATATATATAATATATAGGGGAAATGTATGAAATGTCGGCCTAAGTGTCCCTAATTTGGGCCCATACATAAATTCAGCAATCGACTAAATTTTCAATAGCAACCAAAAATATCCATTAGTACCGTCCCAATGACGCGTTCATATAGATACAATTGATAAATATCAAATTTTTAGCGATGGGCCCAATCTTAGATCCATAGGCCAACATTAGAGCCATTTCCCCTATATAATATTGATCTATTGGAACTCTGATCGAGAAATTACGGATCGATTGAAATTTTTACCATCGAACGCATTGTTCAACCGCAGGTATGAATGCATGCTATCAGTAGTAGACTGCAACTGGAATAGAGATTTGAAATGCCATGAAATAATATTGAACTGAAAGTTATTTAATCCAATTAACATAGAGCACAGTCTGACATAGATAATAAAGCAAACAATTCTGTTCCCAGCACTTTTAATAGTTAAAACTATTTCCAACGCAGTACCTACCTATTCACCGTCATGCATGTGCGGTATTTGACAGGTACAGCTGTGTGGAGTTGAAATATTCCGCATACACAAATAGCATTCCTGTTTTGTTAATTACTACTCCCCAACTGATGTAGGCATTCATTGCATATGTTGGTTGGGACACAATGAAAATTAAATTTTATGCATTTCCCACAACACCCGGATATGTTCGGAGTAGTTAATGCAGCTATAATCACCCATTCTACTGCAGCAGTGTAAATAGCCCCATAATGCAATTATGTTTCTAGACGAGAAAAAAGCAAATGATTATCCTGCATAATTGATTCAATTACCATGTCACAGCTGTCGGTCTCGTTGCCGGTCACGTACTCCAGGGTCCAGTTGGGTAAATCCAGCTGCAGGTGACAACAATTGGCCAACGACTTTTGGTTCGCAGCAAAAGGGACGGCAATTATCTTCCGTTCCGGTTTGTGATTGAGGTCGATTTTGTTCTCGATGGCTTGGTTGTTTTGCCGGAGGAGCAGGTTCTGATGCTGCTGAAGGAGCAGATCGTTGGTAGAGGGATTGGATATTTCCCGGAGCATTCGGGTTAGAAGCGAGCGCCCGTTCAGGCGAACACTGTCTGGTAGAAAGAGGACATACTTGGTTTGCACTTGCAGGATCGGAAGGGTTTCCTTGAGGGATTTGCTAACGTCGTAGCTGAGACTGAAGAATTTTACGTTGCTGTTCTTTTCGAACCAGGTCGTTTGGTTCGCCGTTTGGCCTGGGTTGGTGAAAATGTCTAGAGGAGGGTAGGGAATTTCTGGGGATATCACGAACACTTGTACGTTTGGGATAAGGTTTGTAACGCTGGCTATCGATTGCATGAGATCGTTGTCAAAATCGTAAAAATCACGGAAGATCACGGTGATACTTTTCTTCAGGAATTTGTTGGTATTTTGAATCCGGTCACGGATCCGGCTAAATTTGGTGATTCTCGTTGGTTTGGATCGGTCCCGGTTCGCAGTTATCTGAACCATGTCCAACTGCATTGCACTGTCATGACCTCCCAAATTGTAACGCTCGTTTGAATCGCTTTGTGTTCGACTGCCAAATGTTTCCATTAGAAAATTTGTACTCGTCAAAAAGTACTTCCACGAATAATAAAACACCACCAAATTGAAGCAAATCATAAAAACGATGAACAGCTTCCCATACTTCATACGCATCTTCCACCCGTATGACTTCCTCTCTAGTTCACTGCTTTTCAACACACCAACAAAAAAAAAACAAATGGGGTGTCACGTCGCTTTCAGCTTCACTGATTTTTATTGCCACTGCAGCTGATGCGTGGGTCCCGCTGTCGTCGTTTTCGTTATAAGCGGGAGATCAATTAAATCTCCATTATGTGCTGTGAACCATCATATCGGGAGAGAATCAGTGCTTTCAACGTGGATGCTTTTTCACAGGGATATTCTCGCCTAGGTGCTACTGCTGCACCAACTAAATAATCAGATTATCCGCTCTCCTCTGCTGCAGTGGGGCACCGTCATAAAGTGCCATACCAAGCAGAATCCTGCAATCGGTCGCAGAGAGATTTCCCTCGTGGAAAGAGTTATAAACACAAAAGAAGAGGCACGTCCTCGATGAACACACATAAAAAAAACTGAGGATTATTTGCCTTTCACCATTCGCCAGGACCAACAACAATAACACAAAAGCTCAATTTTCCCACAGATTCTTCGCCATCGACGCAAACCGTTGGACGACTCTCAGCGAGTCAATTATTCACAGAAAGAAATTGCACAACAAATAATTTGACACATGTTAGACATTCGGAACGGAAAGGATACACCGCAGCATAGGAGAAATCCGATTGCTCCCCACGTCACTCGCACACACACCGAGCGTTATCATTTCGAAAAACACTTTCTACAGGAGTTTCTTCTACGCCAGTGTCATCAGTGCGATACTATATGACACTCCTGTGTATATCGCCCGAGGACCGCCGTGAAGTGCTCTGCGTGCAATCCAAACCGGATGGTTCAGGAAGGAGGAAAACATGAAAAGCTATAGTCCGATTTTTCCCACGGGACAGACAGAGAGGGAGCGACCGCGCAGCAGGTCAGGGGGTGGGGGACCGGCGACGGTGGCCTGGCTTTACCGAGTGGATAAGGGATCAACGCACAAGGACTTGCACCCGAGCTGAACGGTGAACGCGAACTGGTAGTGGTCGAGGACCTCAACCAAGTGTGTAGCAAAGCAACTCTAGCAAACCACGCTATTTCCTGGAAAATCTTCGGCACAGAGAGTGGGAGAGAAGTTTATCCAGCTCCAGAGTTTCAGGCGCAGAGCGATGAAAACATTGAGAGAATAGGGACTGTTGCGTTCTCTGTTGTGGTGTGGCGCCCGCTCTGTTTGTTTTGCTTCGACTCTGGGGGGAAGCCATGTGCCGATGGAGCATATAGTAATCCCTCCATTTATGCGGTGGGTGGTGCAGTTCACCCTATCCTATCCTTCATCCAATTGAGTTGGTTTTCTATAGATTACTAGTTTACGGTTGTTGACACTATTCACAATATACAAAAAATCAGCAGAATTGGTACTAGGAGAGTCGAGAAACAGCGCTAGGCGGACGGCACTGACCACCGCATAGATGGAGGGATTACTGTATTTTAGGTTAAGGATGCAATAACAGAGATGCGTGCGGGTCCTGATCTTCGGAGAGTTTTTGACCGTAAAGATAAGAGGAAGAGAGAAAAACATACCACTGTTCGGTACGATTTAACGTGAACTTGGATTATGGAGGCGGTTGGTACTTTAAAAGAGCTAGTGGAGGAGGACCAAAGTCATAGGTCTTCTTCTTCTTCTTCTTCGCATTTCAAGCTTATTGCTTATGGCATATTAGCTTATTGCGTGCTCTCAACTTAGTGTTCTAGATGCACTTCCACAGTTATTAACTGAGAGCTATCGATGCCTGCTATCATTTTTGCATTAGTATAATTGTGTGGCAAGTACAATCATACTCTATGCCCAGGGAGTCGAGAAATTTTCCAACCCGAAAAATTCCTAGACCGGACCGGGAATTGAACCCAGTCACCTCCAGCATGGTCTTGCTTTGTAGCTGCGCCTTTACCGACTGAGCTAAGGGAGGCCCCACCATAGTCATAGGTACCGTGGATATAAAGCACATCATGTTCGAATTGTACCTAGAAGTAGATTTGCTTTGTAGGGTAGGGTAGTGAATGCCTGTGAATGCCATTCTTCTTGACGAGCAGATGGTGATGGGTTCTATTAGGGGAAAATGAACATAATAGCACGCAACAGTTGGAGTTTTCTTTGATTTTTTTCATCGTGTCTTTCTAAATTTAGAATAACATTCAGAATATTATGATCAAAATTTAAGTCTTACTAAAAGTGTCCGAGTAAACCCACCGAGCCAACTCACACCACAGCACATAATGGTCTTTTGTGAAACAACAAATACCGCAAAGTGATTTTTAAAATGCAGAAAAGGGTCTCAATTTACCGTGAAAAACGATTTGCATTTATTTATTTTTTTTTTATAATTACTTTATTTGTACAGGCTCAATCGAATAAACTTTACAGGGCAGAGTTATCCTTTGCGTTATACATTATTACTGTCTTAAATTTAAAGTTAAAGGAACTGGACCGAGTACTCGCGGTTGTCTCGAGGTTAGTGGAGATTTACAATATTTTGGATGGGAAAAGGGAAGAAGGAGGTTTGAAATGTGGTTTACGATACAACTATTTAATTAATCCTAAAGCATGAAATTATTTCTATTCATCTTGAAAACAAACATTGAAAAAAAAAACCCACACGTACAAAATACAAACTAAACACAAGGTTAATCAAACTTACAATCTAAGGTTAATATCCTTAAAGTAAACATATATGAGTTTCATAAACTCCAGATCGCGTCTAGCCAAAATATCCCGAACTGGAACATTAGGTTGTCTACCTCGAGCCCGAAGGGAATCATAAAAATGTGATCTGACTCCACGATACTCCGCACAAGACCAAAGGATGTGATCAGCGTCCTGGTAACCTTGTCCACATTCACAGAGATTGCTGTCTCCCAACCACACACGGAACAAGTGAGCGTTTAGACAATAGTGATTGGACATGAGACGAGACATCACGCGTATGAAGTCTCGACTCAAGTCCAACCCTTTGAACCATGCAAACTTCGACACCTTAGGGATAATTGAATGTAGCCATCGTCCCAAGCTCCCTTCACTCCATTGATGTTGCCAGCTAACGAGTGACTGCTGACGATAAATAGAGAAAAATTCACTATAGGCGATCTGTCGATCATAAATGTCGCCTTCCATAGCGCCCACCTTCGCAAGTGAATCCGCCTTCTCATTGCCCAAAATTGAGCAATGCGAAGGGACCCACGCGAAGGTGATGATGAAAGAGCGCACGGATAAAGTACTAAGCAGTTCTCGTATTTTCAAGAGAAAATACGAGAAGTGCTTTACCGGCCTAATGGAACGGATAGCCTCGACAGAACTGAGACTATCCGTAAAAATAAAGTAGTGGTGTGGAAGGAGTGAAGCAATAGTTTCCAAAGTGTAGTGAATTGCTGCCAGTTCAGCCACATACACAGAACAAGGAGCTTCAAGTTTTCGAGAGGCGCTATGAAATTCATTAAATACACCAAAACCAGCGGACTCCTCTATTAAAGGGTGTCCACGATGAAATTGCCACACTATGAAATTGCTCTAACTTTTTAACCGTTGGGTAGAATTTAATGAAAATTTGGGTGGATTTAGTTCATAGTGCATTATTTACATCCTGCAAGTTTTAAAGTCCTGTGATCAAAACTCGCGGAAATGGAGTCGAAAGAACAGCTCGTGCGTGATAAAATCTTGCGCATTCATCACGAGAACAAGGATCTCTCGCATCGTTCCATCGCTAAAACGTTGGGAATCGCGAATTCCACGGTGTCGCGAGTGATTAAGCGGTTCGAGGAACGGTTGACCACCGATCGGAAGCCCAGAAGTGAAGGAAAACGTATTCCGTACAACACCAAAAATCACAACCGTTTAGTCGGGGCCTTCAACCGAAATCCGAACGCCTCCGTTAGGGATGTGGCTAAGAAGCTGCACCTAAGCCGAAGTTTTGTCCAGAAGGCCAAAACTAAGGCTGGGCTTCGAACGTTCAAGGTACAAAAGGCCCCTAATCGCGACAAGAAGCAGAACAAGTCCGCCAAAACCCGTGCCAGGAAGTTGTACCTCAACATGCTGACGAAAGTTGAATGCTGCATCATGGACGACGAAACATATGTGAAGGCCGACTTCAAACAGATCCCCGGCAACCTGTTTTTCACGGCCAAGGATAAGTTCAGCGTTCCGGAGCATGTCCGCACTCAGAAGATGTCCAAATTTGCGAAGAAATTCCTGGTTTGGCAAGCCATCTGTACGTGCGGGAAGCGGAGTGCACCTTTCGTGACCCAGGACACGATGAACGGACAGGTGTACATAAAAGAGTGCCTCCAGAAGCGGCTGCTTCCTCTCCTGAAGGCCCACAACGTCCCAACAATCTTCTGGCCGGATTTGGCCTCATGCCACTACTCCAAGGACGTGCTGAAGTGGTATGCGGACAATAAGGTCAATTTCGTGCCGAAAATGTTCAACCCTCCCAACACTCCGGAGCTCCGCCCCATCGAGAAGTACTGGGCGATTATGAAGCAGCACCTTCTTAAACGACCTAAGGTAGTGAAGACAATCGAGGAACTGAAGAAAGTATGGGTTTACATGCAAAAAACGGTTGATTCACAGGTTGTGCAGAATCTTATGGCCGGGGTTAAGGCCAAGGTGCGGGCATTTTCGTATGGACTGTAAATAAAATACGAGTAAAATGGTAAAATGAAGTTTAATAGTTATTTCTCAATCCCTGAAAATTTGATGGCAATCGGATGAAAACTCGAATTTTGCGAATCAATTTTGTGTGTGGCAATTTCATCGTGGACACCCTTTAGAGATCCATCTGTGAAAAACGTTCTTGCAGAATCAACATGGCCAAACTTTGCAGCGTATAATGACGGAGCAATCATAGGACGATGATGCTCTGGAATTCCGCGGATTTCCTGCGTCATAGATAAATCAAAATTCACTGTATTGCCGAAATCGGAGAAGATTACACGATTGGGAATATTTCTTGAAGGGCTGACATCCTGTGTTAAATATAGGTAGTACAAAGTCATAAAACATGTTTGAGGATTTAGCTCCAGAAG